CAAATATGCTCAGCTCTCCCCAATAAAAAAACTTCCCCATGATGCACCCCCTCAAACTCCCCTCTTAGCTCTCTCCTCCCTTTCCCGTTACATTCTAAAAAGAATCATCTATGCTGGCCCTTTAACTGCCTCACCACCCACTCACTCTTCAACCTTTTGCAATCTGGCTTTCCCTCTTCTTCACTCATACAGCCACCACCCTAGTTCAAGCCCTCATTGCTTCTCACCTAGACAATAGCAAATAGATCTCTCTGCATCCCCTCTCTCCCCTCTCCAATCTATCCTCTACTCACTTGCTACAGTGAGATTTCTAAAGCTTAGGTCTGATCACATCACTCACCTGCTCAGTAAATTCCAGTAGCTCCCTACTGCCTCTAGGATGAAGTGCAAACTGCCCCATTTGGCAATTCAATCCCTTCCCAGCCTGGTTCCAGTTTACTTACTTGCAAGCTTTTTCCTCATTAATTCCCTTCACGTAGCCTTTGATTCTACTAGTCTGGCCTCTTTACTGGTCCTGACATGTGGCACTCTATCACCCATCTCTGCTCTTGCTCAGACTCTCTCCCAGGCCTGGATTGCCCTTCGTCACCTCTTCCTTTTAGGATCTCCACCTTCCCTCAAAGTTCAACTTAAACATCACCTCCTACTAGAGGCTTTCCCTGTTTCTCCCTAACTTCTAAGGCTTCCTTGAGTTATTTTGTATATTTTCTATCTGAGAAATAAGCTTTTGACTTATCTTCCCCCAAAGCAGGTCTCCAAGGCCCTTTCTGACCACCATTGCTAAACCAGGCTACGTGAGAGTGACTGCACAATCTTCATACCCCCTTTTCCCATGATGTGTTGTCTTTCTCCTACAGAATAAAGACTCCTTAAGAACAGAGATTGTTTGACTTGCTATTACTAGTGTTTAGCACAGTCTAGCACATAGTAAGTACGTAATAAATGCTTTATCATTCATTCATATTCACGTTGTTTCTTTGATAGAATATAAGCTCTTTGAGGACAGAGATAGTTTTATTCTTGACTTTGTATTCTCATTGCCTACCACAAGGGCTGGCATATGGTAGGTGCCTAACAAAGGCTTATCCATTCATTGGTTGATTTTATCCCTACCATTCAACTGAAACTGCTCTCTTTAGGGTTACCTCTTAGTCGTTAAATAAAATGGCCTTTTCTCATTCCATAGCCTTGTTGACATGCTTGTCACATGTGACTGACAATCTCTTCTCTTTGACTTCTGACACTTCTCTCTCTTTCTCTCTCTCTCTCTCTCTCTCTCTCTCTCTCTCTCTCTCTCTCTCTCTCTCTCTCTCTCTCTCTCTCTCTGTTTTTCTTCTACTGATCTGCCTGTAACTTCTTTGTCTCCTTTACTCTTTTCCTCCTTCCTTCTGAATGTAGGTGTCCTCTGAGGCTCTGTTTTTATCTTTCTCCTTTTATTTTCTCTATGAGGCAGCTAAGTAGTGCAGTGGCCAGAGTGCAGGATTTGGAGTCAAGAAGAAATGAGTTCAAATCCAGCTTCAGACACCAGCGATGTCTATCTGACTCAATTTCCTTATCTGTAAAATGAAGACAATAACATATTGTCTTCCCCCCAGTCTTGTTGTGAGTATAAAATTACACAATTTGTATAAAATTCTTTGTAAACCTTAAAGTATTATATAAATGCTAGCTATTATTATGATGATACTTCCTTATCTTATTTATCCACTTCCAAGGTTCTAATCTCTTCTCCTCTATGTGGAAGACTCTCAGATCTGTATTTCTCGTTCCATCCTCCCTACTACGCTCTGTTCCAACATTTTCCAACTGCCTACTGTGCATCTTGTATGTCCTTCTCTAACCTCAAATTCATACACAAAGTCAATTTCAGCATCTGCCCACCTATGATTTTTTTCCTATTAGTCATACTACTGTTTCTCCCAACAATCCACACTTGAAACTTGCAAGTCACTTATGTAGGCTCCTTGAGGAGAGGAACTGCTTCATTCTTTGTACCTTTGGCACCTAGCACCATGCCTGGCATAGAGTGGGCTCTTAATAAATGTTTTTTGACTGAGTAGTTAATTGATTGCCACTTTCTTCTTGGGCTCTGATAGGTGAGTTGTTGTCCTGTCTTGGTCAGAACCAGACCACTTCCAAACCATATGGAAGGAAGGAAACATACATTTATTAAGCACCTACCATGTTCCAGGCACTTTAAAATATTATCTGACTTGATCCTCACAAAAACCCTGGGAAGTAAGCACTAGTATTATCCACATTTCACAAAGGGCAAGTCCAGTATCCATAGCTAAAAGGAAGCTGGATTTGAACACGGGTCTTTCTGACTTAAGGTCCAGCATTCTATCCATGGCTAAACCCCTCTTCTCCTTCTCTGATTTGTAGCTGCCCTTTATCTATTGCCTTCCCTTATTAGGATATAAAGGCAGCTAGGTGGTGCAGTAGATAGAGCACTGGACTTGGAATTAGGAAGATACATCCTCATGAGTTCAAATCCAGCCTCAGACAGTTACTAGCAGTGTGACCCTGGAAAAGCCACTTAACCCTGTTTGACTCATTTGTAAAATGAGGAGAAGGAAATGACAAACCACTCTAGTATCTTTGCCCAGAAAACCCCAAATGGGGTAATAAAGAGTCAGACACGACTGAAAAACAACTGAACAACAACATTCGAATGTAATCTCCTTAGAGGCAGATTAAGATGATGTAACTGTCAACATGAGGTAACTGAAGATATAAATGGTTAAGTCATTTGCCCAGGATCACACATCTAGTAAATGTCGGAGGCCAGATTTGAACCCAGGCAGGTATTCCTGACTTCAAATCCAACATTCTAAATCTATACATCACCCTGTCTCTTAGTATGTATGGGTAGAGAGATAACATATAGAATTAATTCGCTATGAATTTTTGGGCATTTATATCTCAAAGCTGCCTCATTTACTTATTACAAGAACCTTGGGAGGAGTGTCAGGAGGACTACCTATCTTATGATCTCCATTTTACTGTTACAGGAAGCGAGGCCCAGGCAGGTTAAGAAATTTGAACAAGGTCACACAGCATTTCAATAGCAGAGCTGGGATGCCTAGCTTCCAGCCTGTGGCTTTTCCCAGCCAACCACATTCAGGGAGCTTTGTCTCCTTGTCTAGATGTGTGACAGCCCAACAGTAAAGCATTTTAAGGACTTGGCATTTCTGAGAGGAGGTGGAAAATACCAGGCCAAAGTTCACAGCATACGAGGCATCTGTCATTTAGTGAGTCCTCAGTAGCAGTGGCGGCTGGTTGGAGAGGGTCTGGCAGGTAGGTAAATGCCGAGAGGGGATGAGGAGGGGGTCCTTCTCTCCCTTTTCCCTGTGCACCTGCTGACATTTCCCTCTTCTTCAACTGACAGGGCAACATGCTTTGCTTGGGACTCAGGCTGGAAGGGATAATAATAATAATAATAATAATAATAACAGTAGTAGTTGTAGTGGTAGTAATGATAACTCCCATTGACATAACATTCAGAGGCTGACAAAGTACTTTCTTCACTGAACTGTGAGGGACAGATTGCATATATCTCCATTTTATAGTTGGGGAAACCGCAGAGAGAAAGAGGTTTTTCTACAGTCGCATAGAGAGTAAGTGCTGGTCTTGAACCTAAATCTTCTAATGGTAAGACTAGAGCTTTTCCTAGTCCACACAGAAGCCTTTCCAATAGTGCATCATTTTGATTGAGATTTACATATATTATTTCATTTGATTTTCAAATCAACCCTGTGAGGTTAGATCTGTGGATATTATTGTCTCTGTGATGCTGATGAGGAAGCAGGCTCTGAGAGGTTAAGTGATTTTCTCATGGCTACACAGCTTGAATTTCACCTTCTGCAGGAAGGCTTTCCCAATCCCACCCTACTGCTAATACATTTTCTTTGTCTCTGTCTCTCTCTGTCTCTGTCTACATATCTATATCTATATCTATATCTATATCTATATATATATATACACACACACATACATACACACATATATATGTATATATATAAAAAAATACAGATAGATTTAAGTATCTCTATCAATCATCTATCTATCTATCTCTGTCTCTCTCTGTCTCTTCCTCTGTCTCTGTCTCTCTCTGTCTCCTCCTCCCAACCCCCACAAACCCTGTGACTCTACCAAGAGACAACATAGTGTAATAGAAAGAGTGTCAGACTTGGGAATCAGGAGAGATCCAAGTTAAAATCCCATCTCAAATGCTTACTAATTGTGTGACCCTGGGCAAGTCACTTAGGAGTCACTTTGAGCCTCACTTCTCATTTGTAGAAATGGATTATAATAATACTCATAGTGCCTACCTATCTCACCGGGCTAGGGTGAGGATCAAATAAGATGATGTAAACAAAGTGCTTTGTAAATCTTAAATCTCTGTATAAACGTCAGTTGTTTTTATCTGCCTCTCTCCATGATTCACTTGCTTTCTTCTCTATACTGCCTATCCTCATCACAGTTGCATTTATGGATTAGGCTAGGTTTGCACTGATAAGCTGTGCTTTCTGGCCTTCCTGCCCCTGACATATCCCTTTTCATCCCTGGGTTGAACTTTCCCTGCTACAATCCCATGGTCCTCCTTCTGTGCCTGGCCCTGGAAGCCCTTGCCCTGCTAAACATTCTCTGCTCAGCTTGGCCCCTAGTCTTTCCTCCCTTCCCCCTCCTCTGGGAGCTGAGAAAGGCAGGCAACATTTGCACTGAGCACAGAGGCAGGGGGCTCATTTGGGCAAATCTGAGATCGATGTTCAACAAGAAAGGTACAAATGTAAGTCTGGCTAAAGAGTATAATAGAATTTATGGAAATCACCGGCCTGTGCTGCAGCCTGCAATGATGGAGGTGATTATTAATTAATCATGGTCTTTGGGGAAAAGTCTCGGTGTAAGGAGTAATTAAAATGAAGCATTGTACAGTTGTACCGAATGATGATTTATGAGGCTAAGTAATTGCAGCTCTGCCCTCTTCCCTCCGGCAGGCTCAATGGGAAGGATTAACTGGACGGATTGTTTTCAACAAAACCAGTGGCTTAAGGACTGATTTTGACTTGGATATCATCAGCCTAAAAGAAGATGGCCTGGAGAAGGTGAGTAAGGGCCCCCAGCTTGCCTGCAGCTGAATAGAGACAATGAGAATTTCCACAGAGTGTCCTACCTCTCAACAAAGTACTTTGGAGAAATCGAGTCTAAATTCCTTTTGGACTCTGATGGACCACACACAAGGACTTAGCCCACAAATCTCCCACTTCCAATCTAATCCATCCAATACAAATGTCTACTATGTCCCAAGCAAGGTACTAGGTTCTATACCTACAAACACAAAGTTTAACACTCCTTTCCCTGCTTACGTTCTAGTGTGATGGGATTTATTGTTTAGTCATTTTTCAGTGTGTCTAACTCATTGTGACCCTATTTGGGGTTTCCTTGGCAAAGATACTGGTTTGTCATTTCCTTCTCCAGTTCATTTTACAGATAAGGAAACTGAGGCAAACAGCGTTCAGTGACTTGCCCAGGATCACACAACTTGTATGTATCTGAGGCCAGATTTGAACTCAGGAAGATGAGTTTTCCTGACTCCAGGCCCGGAACTCTATCCACTGTACCACCTAGCTGCCCTGTGAGGTGGGATATACAATGTAAACAGAAAACTGATATATACGTTCATTTAGTGAGTAGAGAGAGAAAGCATTAACAACTAGGGATCTCAGGAAGGACCTTTGTAGGAGGTAGCACCTAAGCTAGACCTTGATTCTAAGTGGCAGGAGTAAGGATGGAGTGCATTCTAGGCATTCTAGGAGAGCTTGGTTAAAGGCATGGAAGCTGGAACTGAAGTCCTCAGTTCAAGGAACAGCCAAGTAATGTATAATAAAATGGGAAAGGTAGATTAGAGCAAGATTGTGAAGGGATTTAAATGTCAAGCTGAGGTGTTTATAACACCAAGAGTTGTAAAGAAAGGAGGAGAAGGGGGCCCAAGGTCAAGCCTTTGTGGATATCCATAGTTAGATGATGGGACATGGATGCTGGTCCTGCAAGGAAGACTCAGACAGGTATGAAGAAGCCTAGGAGATAATAATGTCAGGAAAACCCAGGGAAGGGAAAATATTTAAGAAGAAGAAATAGTCAAGAGTGACAAATGTTGCAGAGAGGTCAAGAAGGATGAAGACTGGGAAAAGGCCAGTGACCACTTCCCACTAAATCCTATGTAGGATGGGGAAGGAAGAAGGACTTTGTCCATCAGTTCCCACACTACTATGGGCCACTCCTTACTCATAAATAAGAGAAACAGTGACAAGGTAGAATTTTCACAGGCAGAGGGCTGGGATGAAGGAGGACACTCAGATTATGTCACTTGAATATCATTTCAAGGAAAATGAGGGTGTGTGGCCTGAAGAAGACATAGTGAAAATTATTCAATTAATCAGTATGTATTTACTAAATACCTACTGTGTGATAAGCTATGTACTAGGCACTGGAGATAGAAACACAAAGAATGAAATAATCCTTACATACAAGCAGCTTATATTCTAACAGGGGAAACAAATACATTTAAAATACATATAGCATTAATATAAAGTAAATACATATGCAAAATGGGTAGTTTGGATGGAGAGAAATTAACCAGATGGCTTTCTTCAAATAGCTGAAGGGATGTCATGTGGATGAGGGTCTAGATTTGTTCTGTTTGGTCCCAGGAGTAAGAGGTAGGAGCAGTGGGTAAAAATTAAAGAGAGTCAACTTATAAGGAAAAAACTTACTAACAATGAGAGGTGTCTAACAATGGATTGGACTGTGAGGTACTAAGCTTCCCACCACTAGAGTTATTCAAGCAAAGAACAGATGATCTTCTGTCAAGTATGCTGTACCAGGTAGGAGTTTATACTGGAAACATCTTAGGGCTCATCCATCTCTAAGTGTCTGAATCTGTGAAGCACAATTGGTGAATAAAGTCGTAATCATGGGACAGTGTCTATTGTATATCATCCAGTCAGGCTTTCTGAACAGTGTAGAACATTCTTAATGAGATCATCCCCAAGGTTAAGGACTAGATGAGATACATACACCCACATAGGGATGGACTTTATGTGCAAATGAAAATGACAACAGTGCTAACTGCATGTGATGGGTTGAGGAGACTGAAGTATGATTGTAAACCAAGCTGGATAGAGTTAGTTATGGAAGACTTCTTGAAGGAGGTAAGTTTTGAAAGAAGTGAGTGATAACATTTGGCTCTGAGTGACCTTTTTGCCAGATGACTCAGCTAAACATAGCTCTCCTGGAATCATCCTTTGCACTCACATTTTCTGTGATTTCCCTTGGCCCTTATTCAAGGAGATTACTCCAATGCCTCACCATGTCATTCCCACCAGATAGGCCAAACATGGATACAGAGAATAAATAACCCTCATAGATTCTCTAGGAGCTGTCCATGGTCTTGATGGCTGCTTGACTCATAGGCCCCGAGGGAAAGATTGGATGTGGGAACTGAAGACTCATTTTGGTAAAGGTAAAGGTCATGAGTCCTTTGGCACTGATGAGAAATAGGCAACTTTCTCTCCCTTTTCTTTTTACCATGCTTAAAAACAGTGTTCTACAATTGGATTCAATCTAATTCAAATAGCATGTTAAAAGGAGCTACTAAATTCAAGGTATTGAGGCAATAGGGCATAGAAGTTAGCGCTGGACTTGGTGTCAGAAAAAACTCGGTTCAAATACTGACTTTAACATATATTACCCGAGCAAGTCACTTAACTTCCTAACTTCAGAAAACTCCCTAGTGCTCACCTATTAAGTCATAGAAGGACTGCCATCTGCATTGGTGGAGGGGGCTCCCCTACCAGAAGCCTCAAATGCTAAGAAAATCACAGATCCTACGTAAGTTCCAGACGATGTGCTAGGATCTGGGGATGCAAAAATAACACCAACACCCTGTCTTCGAGGCACTTACATCCTGTTAGTGATGAGGTGGGGGACAATTATAATTCAAGTAAAATTCATTTATTAAACATATTCTCTGGGTCAAGCATTCTACTTAGGCACCAGGACCACGAAGACCCAACCCCCCTCAAAAAAAAAAAAACAAAGTATAATCTCTGCCTTCAAGTAATTGACCTAGGCTCTCTTCCCTCTTAACTTTCTCTCTACTCTTCTCTTGACTTACTTCTTTTCTGTTCCCTACTCCCATTTTCTCCTCCTTATCCCTTTTTCTCTTCTCCTTACCCCATGTTCTTCTTTCCTCCCACCCCTAATCTCCCCTATTCTCTTCCCATAATAATAACCAACACATATCCTTCAAAGGTTTGCAAAACACCTTACAACCCACTGACTTAGGCACTATAGCTATAATTAAACCCATTTTATAGATGATGAAACTGAAGGTGAGTGACATGCCCATGCTTACAGAACCAGGAAGTCTCAGGGGTGGGATTTGAACCCAGTCTATCCTTCTTCCAAGGCCAGTATGCTTTTTCCTGTCCTGCACTGCCTCTCATCATAGTTCTTTATTTGCTCTCCACCCACATACATAGCTATCTGATGGGTTAACCATAGGGTGACCCTCAAGTTACAGCTGTAAGTTGCAGATGTGGCCTGTGACAAGTCAAGCCTGAACGTCAGTAGCTGAGTTCATGACTGCCAAGGTCTTGGACCTGGGTGGGTGAATTCCAGTGACTGGGCTGAGAACTGTCTGAAGTGCAGGAATGGATTGGGGAGGATTAGTCAGTTCTCGTCTCTGAGCCATGGGCACTCTGTCCACGTCTGCTTCTGCTTGACACTTCATTTAGGGGATTTAGTGTTTTCCAGGGGATGGGGGAAGATGGACTTTTTTTCCTCAACTGCTTACAGAGTGTCTTCCCTGCCTCCTCCACCAAGCAGTTTGCAAACCTCCAGCCTTGGTGTGAGAGGGGTTATAGTTTTCCTTCCTGCTGATAAAACCCAGATTTGGAGTTTAGAGATTGAGGGGAGGAAACAGTATGATGCTGGAACATACTTGTGACTAGCCTTTCACTATCCCTCTATCTAAGCTGTAGCCTTTGGGGACGTTTGGGCTGGTATTGGAAGAGAGAGAAATCACAGTGCTTGCACTGATCCTTAAGGAAAGGAAAGAGCTAGAGAAGGAGGAAAGAAGGGAGGCAGGGAGGGAGGATTGGGAGGAAGGAAGGAAGGAAGGAAGGAAGGAAGGAAGGAAGAAGGAAGGAAGGAAGGAAGGAAAGAAGGAAGGGATAGAAGGAGAGAAGTAGGAGGATGGAGGCTTCCCATGCCTGGGGTGAACTTTTTCTCATCTCCACCTTCCAGAATATTTCCCTTCCTGTCAGGCTCAGCTCAGGTGCCACTTCACTGAACTCCCCACATTAAAGTGTTTTTCACCCTCTCAATTTTTTTAGCCCTTTGTCTGGAGTTCTCATTTGCTTCTATCACTCCATACTTTGCATTATCCTCATATGTATAAATGCCTTATCCCTCACACATTCATTTGAATGTAAGCTCTTTGAAGGTAGAAACTTTTATTTTTATTTATTTATTTTTAGGCAATTGGGGTTAAGCGACTTGCCTAAGGTCACACAGCTAGTAAGTGTCAAGTGTTTGGTCTGAGGCCGGATTTGAACTCAGGTCCTCCTGACTTCAGGGCCAGTGCTCTATCCATTGTGCCACCTAGCTGCCCCCAGTAGAAACTTTTATTATGCTTAATTTTTATATTTCAAACACTTAGCCTTGCTTCTAATGGAATATAACATGTATTGGCTTAATTGAATGAATGAATTCATGAAAAATGTATTGGACAACATTTATTGATCATCTACTATATACCCAACCTTGCTATGGGACTATGGGAGCAGGCAGAATTGTCTGCAGGCCTTGGAATTCCACACCTGCTTTGGGCTTTAATCTCAGCTTAGGGCATGTGAGCAGTGGGCCACTCAGTCTACTTTTGTCTAATCCCTGCTAGGTACTTTCCAGGACACATATTCTCCATCACTCAGGCAGCAAGGGCAAGGGGGAGGGGGTGCAGAATGGCTGGCCAAGTGTCGGATCACAGCCTTCCAGTATTGTGTTTGCCCTACTGTTTGTTAAGCCAGATGGGCCCTGATCCTGCCCGCTTGGGTGTTGGGAGGATTAAGGCAGAATTACTGGAGCATAATTACATGTCTCTTTGCTATCTGGTTTGCACAGCTCTCTTAATGGGATATTTGTAGTCTGCCTCTCTGGTTAATTGATTAAGTTTCTGGGTTCCTTGAAGAGGATGATTTCCCCCTGAGGTTGGCCAAGGACAGAAAGGGCATGAGCAGCCTTGGGATATCAGGCTGTTTCCAGTGGGGTGGAGAATAAGGGACAGGAGAGCATAGTATGATTTTGGGGGGATACTCAAGGTTTTGTGAATATTCCTAAAATGACTTGGAGGGGCATGTGGTTACCCTAAGCTCAATATGAAACAAGAGTATACCATGGCAGCTGAAAAAAAAAAGATAATATGATCCAGGGCTGCCTTAATAGAATTCTAGTGTCAAGAATGAGTGAGGTGCTTGTCTCACTGTTCTCTGTACTAGTCAAGTTACATTTGGAGTATCAAGTTCTGAGCATCTTGATTGAGAAGGGACATTGGCCCCTTCTTATAACATTACCCAGAACTTTAAGGTTTGTAAAAATAACTTTTCATAGACTGTCTCATTTTATCCTCACAACAGAAGGTGCTGTTATTATCTCATCTTACAGATGAGGAAACTGAGGTAAAGAGAAGTTAAGTGATTTGCCCAAGAGCCCACTTGTAGTAAGTGTCTGAAGAAGGATATGAACTCAGGTCTTTCTGACTCCAAGTTAAACACATTGAACCACTGTACCACCTAGTTTCTCTCTCTGTCATGCAGAAAGGATGCTAGATCCATTCAGAAATCTGTGAGGTCACTACTCTATGAGGTCACTACTATTACCATGCTCATTTTATAGTTGAAGAAACTGTAAGTCTCAGAGAAGTTTAAGTGACCTGCCCAGGGTTACTCAGCTAATAAGAATGAGTTCACCATCACTGGAAGTGTTCAGATTCAGAGTCTGGAGGACCACTTGTTGATAATGTCAAGTGGGCTTCTGCCTAGGTAGAAGTTCAACTCCATGCCCTCTGAGGTCCCTTTGAGCTCTAAGGTTCTGTTTGATTCCATAGTTGAGCCCACCAAGAGCTGCTGGGGAAATCATTTCTCACTTGTCCTTCCCTCCATTTCCCTTTTCTCACTACTACTACTACTACTACTACTACTACTACTACTACTACTACTACACACACACACCACACACACACACACACACACACACACACACACACCTGGCATCAGAGGAAGTGGATGGGAAAACAATGGAGGGAATTTCAGTCTAGCCTGAATTTAAAATATCCCTCAACTCCCTAGCAGGCCAGAAGTCTTGGAGAGAGTTCTCCCCTGTTTGCCTATCACGAGCTGGTCGGATCAGCCTCAGTGGTCTCTGAAATGCTGCTGCTCTGATCTCTTCCTCTGGAAAAAAAAAATAGCTCCCCATCCCTCCCCTTCCCAGGGCAAGCCCTGAGACAAGAACCCATCACACAGGCATATGTGTGTGTGGCCTCCTGAGGTAATTCCACTGATGAAATGCATTACCTGAGCTCTCATTATCTCTCAGCCATTATCTCTCATTTGCCATATCTGGGGCCATCGCCTCTCTTTGATTATCTCTGGGTTCCTCTGCATTAACTGCTTGACTCTGGAGTCTCCTCTTCATAATAATAGGGACAGGAATTAGATCTGTAATTTCATATATAGGGAACTCCCAGATGAACACCCTTTACTAATGCAAGTCCACAGTACTCTGCAACATACTATCTTTTTTAAAAAAATTTATTCATTGTGAACTTCAAGTACAAAAAGACAAAAAAACTTTCCATGTACACAGCACAACATAAAAAGAGGATTCAGTATAAAACCCACGAATTTCCACTTCACACTGTTTGCTTTTTTTGAAAAACTATGTAATAAACACTATACATCATTTTCAAAGCTACCCTGCCTTCCTGTGCTTCCTTCCAAGTTTTCTTTTGTTCTCTGCTGTGTACTTTTTTTTTCTCCCTCCCTCCCCATCCTGCCCTAGAGAAGGCTACTATTAGACACAAGTATGTTTATATATGTAAAATCGTACTATACATACTTCTGTTTATCAGTTCCTTATCTGGAGGCAGATAGCATCTTCTTTCATAGGTCCTTTGTAGTTGATTTGAGTATTTATAATACTCAAAAGGACTTAATCATTCACAGTTGTTCTTGGAACAATTTTGCTGTTACAACATACAGTGTTCTTGTGTTCTACTCACTTCGCTCTTCATTATTTCATACAAGTCTTCCCATATTTTCTAAAATCTACCAGCTCATTATTTCTTATAGCACAGTAGTATTCCATCATAATCATATACTACAACTTATTAAGCCATTCCCCAATTGACAGGCTTCCTGTCAATTTCCAGTTCTTTGACACCACAAAGAGCTGCTATAAATATTTTAGAACATATAATTTCTTTTCCTTTTCCTAATCAGCTTGGGAAACAGACCTAATAGTGATGTTTCTGGTCAAAGGGCATAATTTTATGACTCTTTGGGCATAATTTCAGATAGCTCTCCAAAATGGTTGGATCAGTTACATATTGTCTTTAGAAAAGTACCTATAACATCGAGATACCATGACTTGCCCAGGGTCATATAGACATATGTGTCAGAGGTGGCAGGATTTGAAATCAGATCTTCCTGGATCCCTTTACCAATACCAGGTTCTCTGTATCAATACAGGTCAGCACCTTCTCTGCAACTTATGGACATAGACACAGGTCTAGAACCCTGAGAGGTTAAGTGATTTAACCAGGGTCACACAACCAGCATGTGTCCAAGAAGGAACTTAAATTCAGGTCTTACTGAATTCTAAGGGCAGCTCTTTATCTACCATGCTATGCTGTCAGGATGTATTTCAGAAATATATTTCATCAAAATATGCATTCTACTGTGGTGTCTCTAATGAGTTTGTAATAACACTACTAATAATAACTCACACTCACATAGAAGTTAAAAGTCTAAAAAACTTATGTTAACTTATTTAAGCCTGACAACAACCCCATTTGATAGGTACTGCAGGTATTCTTAAATTACAGATAATACAGGGGCAGCTAGGTGGTGCAGTGGATAGAGCACCGGCTCTGGAGTCAAGACAATCTGAATTCAAATCCCATTCTCAGACACTTGCCACTTACTAGCTGTTTGACCCTGGGCAAGTCACTTAACCCCAACTGCCTCACCAGAAAAAACAACAACAAAAACAAACAAAAATTATAGTGATTGTTTCTTTCCATATGAAGGAACGAGGCTCAGAGAGCTTCATGAGTTAATCAGATGCTAGTTGCAGAAGGGAGCTGTTTAGGCAGGCATACAACAGGCAACAAACATTTATTAATGTTTGTTAGCTCAGCCAAGCATTGAGCTAAGTGCTGGGAATACAAATACAAGAATAAAGAAAGATAATCCCTGTCCTCAAGGAGATTACTTTTTTTTTTAGGCAATTGGGGTTAAGTGACTTGCCAAGGGTCACACAGCCTAGTGAGTGTCTGAGGCTGGATTTGAATTCAGGTCCTCCTGAAGCCAAGACCCAGGATCTATCTATTGTGCTTGGATGGCCTCAAGGTTACGTTCTGTGGCAAAAGCCAATGCCCAAAAGAAGTAGTGCTTGCCCTGGAATTTGAGAATCTAGGTTGAGGTCTTACCTCTGATGCTGACTACTTATGTGACCTGGACTAAGTCCAAGTCACTTCATATCCTGGTCCTCAGTTTCCTCATCTGTAAAATGAAGAAGTTAAATTAGATAGCCTCTGAGGTCCCTTTCAACTCTAAATCTATGATCTCATTTGGGAAGAACTATTCAATGTAAATAACTAAAAACCAAAGGTTGATGGCCACCTGTGGGGGATGTAGAAGAGAGGATTCCTGTTTAAATAGAACTTTGACTCAGTGCTTTCTGAGGTTCTCTCCAGCTCTGAAAGCCTGTGGTTCTGTGGAGTAAGAAGACCTGAGATCCAGCCTTGGGTCTTCCACCTATGTGACCTTGACTTCTTTGGAACTAGCTACCCCTCTGAAGTCCCTTCCAACTCTGGGATTCTGCCCACCTCCATGGGAAACTAAAAAATGCAGGCTGATGGGAGAGAGGTAGAGAATGCAGGTTTTATTGATCTAAATTCCATGTGTTTCCTCTGAGACATCGCAGAATCCTAGAATGTCAGCATTGGATGAGACCTCTGGAATTTTTTAGTTGGACTTGCTTGTTGTGTATCTGGGAAAACTGAGGCTCAGAGAGAGGAAGAGACTTTCCCAAGGTCACACACCTGGCTAGCAGTGGATCTGGTGCTTGAATTCAGCTTCTTTGAGGTCTCTAGCCTCCTTGTTTATTGCCCCTTCGAACTCCAATATGCTCATGTTTCTTTCTGTGCTTCTGTCTTCTCCCCAGGTGGGTGTGTGGTGTCCTGCTGATGGCCTCAACATCACAGAGATTGCCAAAGGCCGGGGTCCCAACGTCACTGACTCCTTGACCAACAGATCCCTCATTGTCACCACTGTGCTGGTAAGAGGCTACAGCTCTATGTGACCTCCCCAGGGAATATCAAATTAAGGGATAAAGAAGGAAAGGAGTAAGAGGAGAAGAGTAAGGGTAAGGGAGTTCCTCAGCTCATTTTCCAATGACAGGTCTTCTATGCTTGGGAAATAGTGCTCAGCTCCTGATGGAGTGTTTTCAGGAAGTAGAGAAGGAGCTGATGGCTCTGTGGTGGGTAGGGAGTAAAAGGAGGGAGGAATTGAATGCCTGGCATAGTCCAAAGAGCAATAGCTTAGAATTTGAAGCCAAGGAAAGTGAGTTTGAACCCCAGTTCTGCTATCTACTTACCACCAATGTGGAGTTGGGCACCTTCTGCCTTCCCTTCTCCACTTCTTTATCTGTAAAATAAAGGGGCTGAATTAAATGATCTCTCAGCTCCCTCCCAGTTCAAAACCTCATGAATCTACATAGGAGGCTCTCATGAAACATCCAAGAATTTCTCAGCAACCTTGGAGCAGGCATTTAGCATCCTTGGACCCCAACACAGGTCTAGGATAAACAATGAGAGGACCAGGGATGGAGGGGCCAGGGATATGGGACCTCAAATGGAGACACCAGAGTTAGAAGATCTGGGGATACAGGACCTGGAATGGAGGGACCAGGGCTAGAAGTTCTGGAGCAGAGATGCTGGGGATATAGGACCTGGGATAGACAGACCATGCATAAAGGGATTAGACAAGAAAAATTAGGGGTGGAGGGAACAGGAACTGAAGATCAGGAGATGGAGGGCTGGGGAAAGGACAGACTAGGGACAAAAGGGCTCAGCCTATTAGAAGCACAGCTGGATATTCTTGCTCCTTTACTGAGAACCCCATCACCAGGATAGGGATGGATGGGCTACTATGTAGAAGTATGGGTGGGGGAGCCTGCAATCTATGTCCTTGAAGAAATAGGTGAATGTGAAGAAGGAGAAGCTTTAAACAACTATCTTCACTCCTTTCTCAAAGTTGACCTCAACTTCCATATAGTCAGTACTGATGATTCAGGGGCCAGTGATCTGGGAGTATTAGTCATTATCCAAGCCCTACATGTTTTTCTACTGCCTCCCTCTTAACTCAGAAGCCAGCTTCTTGTGTCCCTGTACTCTAATTTCCTTCTGACTTCCAGATGTTGCAAGTAGGGAGGAGGGGCTGTTAATTAGTATGACTATAATGCCATGTGTCATGGTCGGGCCTCTGGGATCCATTCATGGCCATAGCAGGGCTGACAGGACACAGTCTACTTGGGTACCAAGCATGGGGCCTTGGAATCTACCATGGAAACAGAGCATTGCCCTGGAGGGAGATTTGGTGTCATGGAAAGCACCTAGAATGCTCTCTCTCCTCACTCCTACCTTCTGGCTTCTCTACATTCCTTCAAGACTCAGCTCAAATCAGCCCCTCTGAATGGTCTTTCCCCATTACCTCAGCTACTAGTGCTCTCAGATTACCTCCTATTTGCTCTCTACATACCACATATGGACTTACTTATTTACAGGTTGTCTACCCCATTAGAATGTGAGCTTCTGAAAAGGACAGGTACAATACATTTGCTTTTCTGTCCTTAGCTTTAAGAAAGTAGAAGGCACATAGAAAGCATTTAAATGCTTTGTTGACTGACCAATTTGCCTCAGAAGATTTGAGTCTGAGTCCTAATCCTGTCACTTAGGAGCTTGGTGACCTGAGCACCACATTTTAAGAAAACACTCCAACAAGCTGAAGTGTCCAGGGGAGCACAATCAGGTTAGTGAAGGGCCTTTTCATGGGAAATCGATTTCAACAAACTGGGAATGTCAGGAAGACATGACAATTATCTGAAAGTGGCTGAAGGGCTGTTTAACACAAGCAATGGGTGTAAGTTACAAAGGCATATTTAGGCTTGGGGTAAGAAAAAACTTAGCCATTAGAGCTGTCTCGAAAAAGAGTGGTGTTCCTCAAGAGGTAGTGAGTTCTCCATCACTGGATCTTTGTGAGCAAAGATAAGATAGCCTATTGTCAAGTATGTTGTAGGGAAGCATTTTATTCAGGCACGGGTTGGATTATGTGGCCTCTGAGGTCCTTTACAACTCTAATATTCTGTGATTCTGTGATTCTGTGATTTGGACAAGTCACCTCCCCTCTTTAAACCTCAGTTTTCTCATTTATAAAATGAGATAATAACAACAACAATAATATTAGTGTTTTAAAGTACTTTACATGTGTTATCTCATTTGACAACAATCCTGGGAGGTGGGTTATATTATAATCCCAATTTTACAGATGAGAAAACTGGGGCAAAAAGAGGATAAGTGACTTGCCCAGGGTCACACAACTAGTGTCTGAAATAGAATTGGAACTCAGATCCCCCTTACTCCAAGTACAACACTCTACATACTGGACCATCTAGCTGCCTAGGATAATAATATTTGGACTATTTACCTAAAGAGGCTATTTTAGAGAAAGTACTTGATGGACTGTAAAGTACTATGAAGCTAGGGAGTTGTACTTTTTGAGATGGGCCCATTTTAAAGATTCACACAGTGGAAGCCTACTACATTGACTGAGCCCTTGGTCCCAGACAAAAACTGGCCATTAAACCCAATGCAGACTGAGCCCTGATCCTAGCCAAAGACTGCCCCTAGACTGAGCTCTGGTCCTACCTTCAGGGGAAGCTGAGGCCTAAGTCAAGTTGGTCATCTTTCTAATAGTTACTGGAGTGACTGAGTGAGTATGCCCATCCCCACTGCAGAAAGTTCAGCAAAGTGGGAAGAACATGGTAGATCCATGTGGGTGGTCTTAGTGTACAAAGGGCAACATGCCACATATGCATCTGCTGAAACAAGGATTCTGAATTGGTCTGATTTTTATTCTTCCTTTGGACAATCAGCCAAAGTTGGGCTGCCCTCATAGAGGTAGGAGGCAATGGACTGTTCAATTCAACAACCATTCATTAAGTGTGCGTCACAGGGCAGCAGCTTGGTGCAGGGGGAAAGTGCCTTAGATGTGGTTTCAAATCCTGCCTCCACCTCTTATGATACTGTATGGACTTGGGCAAATCATTTAATGTCTCTGGGCTTCAGTTTCCTCATCTTTGAAATGAAAAAGACTGGACTATATAACCTCTAAAGGGTCCAGCTACAGGCCAGAGCTGGGGATGCTCCCTCTCCCCATCCTCAGGCTTTTTATGCCCTACCTATTTGAGAGGAATACAAAACACACACACACACCACACACACACACACACACACGTACATATCAGTGTTGGTGTGCATGAGTGTGTGTGTTGGTTGTCACAGCAACTGCTGCTTGAATGATGGGGAATGGAACTGGGCAGTCAGTCCATGCAACCACTTATTCACTTATCCTTATTCAAGATGGCTCTGTGCTTTTTAGGCTCTTCCTTTTACTCCCCTTCTAGGAAGCCTAGTGGTGAAGAGAAGTTTTCTCTCTCTCTCTCTCTCTCTCTCTCTCTCTCTCTCTCTCTCTCTCTCTCTCTCTCTCTCTCTCTCTCCCTCCCTCTCTCTCTCTCTCTCTCTCTCTCTCTCTCTCTCTCTCTCTCTCTCTCTCTCTCTCAGCAGGGAGGAGTAGGGGGTGGGGAGGAGAGGGGATGGATTAGAGGATGGGAGGCAAGAGATGATACATTCGTCCCCCTCTTATGGTTAATAATTATGTACTCCTCTTATCTGTACTTCCCCCAGATCTTGAGCCCTCAGAGTGCTGAACCTCACAACACTACATGCCCCAAACCCCTCAAGTCCTAAAATCCTAAGGCCCTAACCCCTAAGTTCCCAGCTCCAGGCCATAGGATAAGACTTTAGAGGGGAAAGAGACCTCAGAGGCCATCACGACACATTGAGGTTAAGTGACTTGCCCAAGATCACATAGTTACTAACTAGGTGCCTAAGGTTTTGAACCCAGGTCTTCCTGACTCTTAAGTCTAGTGCCTCCTTCATTCCATTAGGGGTGTCAAACTTGCTGTCCGGGGGCCCACAAGCAGCACTCTCAGCCCAGTGAACCAGATTAAAGTTGTAATTGGGAAATGTTTAACAAAATAAATAAAAATACAATACAACATAGATGTGTGTTAATTTGTTGTTTTCTAAGTCAATATGCTGCTGGCAGGGATCTGCTTCTTTCTGACTTTGATAGCACTACTACATCAGACTACCTCCATTTACATCAGACTAAACCTCTGTGTCCTGAATCTGGGGCCTAAGCCTTGAGATGTTAGGTACAGAGAAGGGAGGATAGGAGAAGGATTCCCTCTCCAATGTAATTCCCAAGCAGCCTACCCCTCCACAGAAAGAAGCAGGGATAGACACATTGCCTAGTCTGATAATAGCACCCCTCATTTATAATTCAGGTGTAGCTTGGAGGTGCCTGTAGTTTACCTCAATCTTCCTTCCCCTCTTCTATCCCTCCACCCCAGTAGGCTAGGTGGTAAAGAAAGGGAGCAGCAGGCTGAGTCAGAAACCTGCCTGACACCTGCCCTGGTAGGGATAAACCTCAGCCTCTGTCTCCTAAGCCCGTTCTTCTGGGAGTTCATGGATGAGCACTCATTCTTAGCCACAGAGATGTGCATCATGCTCATAGCTTTGCTTCTTTGCCTTAGATATTTGGGACATGGGTTAGGCTACTGAAAAGAGCCAGAGATGTGTGTTCTATGTGTCAGGGTTCTGTGTGTGTGTGTGTGTGTGTGTGTGTGTGTGTGTGTGTGTGTGTGTACATCCTGTGTGACTATTAAGTCACAAATCTATTTTGGAGAACTGTTCTTTGTATCTGTGTTAGTCTATCTGTGCACTGTGTGCGTGTTGTATTGGAGTGTGTATTACATTCTTTATATCCATTGAGTCATGTCTTAGTGTTATGGGCCTGTGAATACATTCTATGTATTTGTTAAATCACGCATCTGAGTTTCTTTTTTTTTTTGGAAGGGTGGGAGTGTTCTTTGTATCTGTGTTTGTTCTGTTTGTTTCTTTTGTTAAAGTGTATTTATAGTCAGAAATGCATCTGTGTTAGTATGTTCTGTGTGTCAAGTGAATCATGCATCTGTTTTTTGTGGGGTGTTCTTTGTGTCCATTAGGCTGTATATTTTCTGTAGGTATCTTATGTTGGGGTGTGTATATGCTTATTTCTTTGTCCATTGAGTCTTGTTTGTATTAGGGTATGTGTATGATCCTTGTGTCTATTGACTCACAGATCTGTTTTGTTCGTCATTTTTGGATTTGTTATTTTGTGTGTGTTCTGTCAGGATGTGTTAGTACATTCTTTGTGTCTGTTGTGTCTGTATTGGAGAGGTTGTATCTGTGGGTATATTGAGTCATGAGTCCATTTTGTGTGTCAGTATGGGGTCTCTATGTGTTTTCTTTTTATCTGCATTA